CCCACCACCTGCAGAGGGGTCCGTGGTGGCGAGGTGCAGAGAGGACTGGGCAGCAGTCGAAGGCGGAGACCTCGACGACCCAGTCGACACACCCAACATCTGGCTCTTGGGACGTGGAACTTCACCTCACTGGGGGGAAAGGAGCCCGAGCTTGTGGGGGAGGTTGAGCGATACCGACTAGAGATAGTCGGCCTCACCTCCACACACAGCTTGGGCTCTGGAACCCAACTCCTTGAGAGGGGTTGGACGCTCCACTTTTCTGGTGTTTCCCGCGGGGAGAGGCGGCGAGCTGGGGTGGCCATACTCATTGCCCCCCATCTCAGCCGCCACGTGTTGGAGTTCTCCCCGGTGAATGAGAGGGTCGCGTCCCTCCGCCTCCGGGTGGGGGACAAGTCTCTCACTGTTGTGACGGCCTACGGGCCTAACGGTAGTGCAGAGTACCCGGCCTTCTTGGAGTCCTTGGGAGGGGTACTGGACGGTGCACCGCCCAGGGACTCCGTTATTCTCCTAGGGGACTTCAACGCCCATGTGGGAAATGCCAGTGACACTTGGAGAGGGGTGATCGGGAAGAACGGCCCCCCTGATCTGAACCCCGGTGTTCAGTTGTTGGACTTCTGTGCCAGTCACGGCCTGTCCATCACGAACACCATGTTCGAGCACAAGGGTGTCCATCAGTGCACGTGGCACCAGGACACCCTAGGCCGGAGGTCGATGATCGACTTTGTAGTCGTATCATCTGACCTTCGACCGCGTGTCTCGGACACTCGGGTGAAGAGAGGGGCGGAGCTGTCAACCGATCCTCACCTGGTCGTGAGTTGGATCCGCTGGCAGGGCAGGAGGCCGGTCAGACCTGGCAGGCCCAAGCGTGTAGTGAGGGTTTGCTGGGAACGTCTTGCTGAGCCCCCTGTCAGACGGACTTTCAACTCACACCTCCGGGAGAGCTTCTCTCAGGTCCCGGCAGAGGAGGGGGACATCGAGTCCGAGTGGACCATGTTCTCTTCCTCTATCGCCAATGCGGCGGCTCGTAGCTGTGGTCGCAAGGTCTCTGGTGCTGGTCCCAGCGGCAATCCCCGAACCCGGTGGTGGACACCGGCAGTAAGGGATGCCGTCAGGGCTGAAGAAGGAGTCCTATCGAGCAATGATGGTTCGTGGGACTCCTGAGGCAGCTGTCCAGTACCGGCTGGGATGAGAATCAGCACCTCCAAATCCGAGGCCATGGTGCTCGACCGGAAAAAGGTGCCTTGCCCTCTTCAGGTGGGTGGAGAGGTCCTTCCTCAAGTGGAGGAGTTCAAGTATCTCGGGGTCTTGTTCACGAGTGAGGGGAGGATGGAGCGTGAGATTGACAGGCGGATCGGTGCAGCGTGCGCAGTGATGCGGTCGCTGTATCGGCACGTTGTGGTGAAGAGGGAGCTGAGCCGAAAGGCAAAGCTCTCAATTTACCGGTCAATCTTCGTTCCCTCCCTCACCTATGGTCATGAGCTGTGGGTAATGACCGAAAGAACGAGATCGCGGATACAAGCGGTCGAAATGAGCTTCCTCCGCAGAGTGGCTGGGCGCTCCCTTAGAGATAGGGTGAGGAGCTCGGTCACACGGGAGGAGCTCGGAGTAGAGCCGCTGCTTCTCCACGTCGAGAGGAACCAGTTGAGGTGGCTCGGGCATCTGTTCAGGATGCCTCCTGGACGCCTTCCTGGGGAGGTATTCCGGGCACGTCCCACTGGGAGGAGGCCCCGGGGAAGACCCAGGACACGCTGGAGAGACTATGTCTCTCAGCTGGCCTGGGAACGCCTTGGGGTCCCCCCGGACGAGCTGGAGGAGGTGTGTGTGGATAGGGAAGTCTGGGCGTCTCTGCTTAGACTGCTGCCCCCGCGACCCGGCAACGGATAAAGCGGAAGAAAATGGATGGATGGATGGATAACTTTTTTTCAAAAAGGTCTCACCCGCAAAGCCGTCAGAATCACCAGGGACCCTACGCACCCATCACACAGTCTCTTCAGAGTAATGCCTTCAGGGAGGAGACTGCGGATTCTACGGGCCAGGTCGAGTCGCCTTAAGAACAGTTTCGTACACAGGGCCATCGGGAAGCTGAACTCCCTGCCCTCCCTCCCACCCCTCTTCCCCCACCCCCCGCTTCACAATCAAGGATCAGAGAAATATATTTTCGAATCAGTCACATGGTTTGACAAATAAAACAATCTTGAATCTTGAATTATTTTTATATATAGCTTCATCAGATAGGAAAAAAAAGAAGTACAAATTGAAGATGTATACAGTATTTGGCCTGGTAAAAAAGAGAAGTTTCTGGGGGTGCAAGGCAGCTTGGTAGTTGTGTCACATGCATGATGCATTGATGGTACAAGCTTAGTGGCAGCGACTGTCGTTATGAATCTCAAATCCATTCTTTGCTGCGTTTTATCCCCCTTTTCTACTTTAGCTGTGCCTTGTCAGCTGCTCCATGTAAACAAAAAACATAAAGGCCATACAATATAGCAAGCCCCAAAACATACAACACTCATACTCTCATAATGTAAGTCTTTGAGTTTTAACAACTTTTTTTTAACAACAAAAAACAGAAATATATATTGTGTTAATTCTGAAATACTAATTGTGTAATTGTAATATGAAACTTATGGCACAATAAAGTAACAAAAAAAATGTCTAATTTACACTCCTGGTAAAGGTCTCTTCTCCATTTATAAAAAAGCTATTGACAATTCAATCATAAAAAATATAAAAAAGATATTTCTGCTGAAAACAAAGGTTGTAGTAGTTAGACATGTTAGTTATTGATCATACCTGAGAATTTGGTGACCACGCCCCTTTTAGAAAAAAAGTTATTGAAAATTCATATTCATATTTAATCATAAAAAATATAAAAAAGATATTTCTGCTGAAAACAAAGGTTGTAGTAGTTAGACATGGTAGTTATTGATCATACCTGAGAATTTGGTAACCACGCCCCTTTTAGAAAAAAAGTTATTGAAAATTCATATTCATATTTAATCATAAAATTATAAAAAAGATATTTCTGCTGAAAACAAAGGTTGTAGTAGTTAGACATGTTAGTTATTGATCATACCTGAGAATTTGGTGACCACGCCCCTTTTTGAAAAAAAGTTATTGAAAATTCATATTCATATTTAATCATAAAAAATATAAAAAAGATGTTTCTGCTGAAAACAAAGGTTGTAGTAGTTAGACATGGTAGTTATTGATCATACCTGAGAATTTGGTGACCACGCCCCTTTTTGAAAAAAAGTTATTGAAAATTCATATTCATATTTAATCATAAAAAATATAAAAAAGATATTTCTGCTGAAAACAAAGGTTGTAGTAGTTAGACATGGTAGTTATTGATCATACCTGAGAATTTGGTGACCACGCCCCTTTTTGAAAAAAAGTTATTGAAAATTCATGTTCATATTTAATCATATTTATTCATGAAAAATATAAAAAAAGAGACAAATGCTGAAAACAAAGGTTGTAGTAGTTAGACATGGTAGTTATTGATCATACCTGAGAATTTGGTGACCACGCCCCTTTTAGAAAAAAAGTTATTGAAAATTCATATTCATATTTAATCATGAAAAATATAAAAAAGATATTTCTGCTGAAAACAAAGGTTGTAGTAGTTAGACATGTTAGTTATTGATCATACCTGAGAATTTGGTGACCACGCTCCTTTTAGAAAAAAAAGTTATTGAAGATTCATATTCATATTTAATCATAAAAAATATAAAAAAGATATTTCTGCTGAAAACAAAGGTTGTAGTAATTAGACGTGTTAGTTATTGATCATACCTGAGAATTTGGTGACCACGCCCCTTTTTGAAAAAAAGTTATTGAAAATTCATATTCATATTTAATCATATTTATTCATGAAAAATATAAAAAAAGAGAAATGCTGAAAACAAAGGTTGTAGTAGTTAGATATGGCCATTATTTATAGTATTTGAGAGTTTAGTGCGTGTACTTGGCTTAAAATAAAAACTTTTATTCGTTTACACAGCTGCTCTTGGCATTTGTTGACGCTCCCTAAGTGCTTTTCTCGGCACTTGCGGCGCATTGGGTTCAATGGATTTCTCTGCATTAAAACAGCGCATTGGATTTTAAAAATCGATGTTGTAGTAGTTAGCCTATGTAGAGGTGATCATTTTGGCACAATTACTTTCGTTTAACAACGTAGCTTTCGTGAGATATTGACCGCGGAAGTCCGAATCTGTGAATATCAAGCTAACTTTACCGAAGTGAAGGTCTGGCAGGAGTATTGGGACATCTGTGATACTGGGCGGCATCTATATGGTATACAGCGGAATGTGGGTCTATATAAATCCCGGGGCAGGAGCACAAAGGAAGAGAGAGCCATCACGCGTTTGAGAATAGGTCACACAAGTCTGAACAGTTCGTTATTTAGGATAGGAAAACACTCTACTGGACTTTGTGGCTACTGTCAAGAGCCAGAGACTGTTGAACATGTGCTAATCCATTGTGCGCATTATGAGCAAGAAAGAGCTGGGTTAATTCAAGAAAATGAACAAACAATTACGCTAAGGAATTTACTTCAGAATCCGTCTAAAAAGGTGCTCAGTGCTATTCTTAAATATCTACAGACTACAGGACTAATGGGAAGATTGTAGCCTGAATTGGATTAGTGCATCTCCTGTTCATTCAGTCCGAATACATTAGGTGGCGGTAAATGCACCTTGGTAGTTGGATGCCAATCGCCAATAAACACCAGAAGAAGAAGAAGAAGACGACTAAAGGCTATGTGCCCGCCCCAAGTTCTGCGTAGGCGTGAAGACGTGTACCATTCGCTGGAGAAAACAAGGAAGTGGAGTGAATGATGTTTTCGATATGTTTTGCTTCTGTGGCTTATATTTAAAGCATTTTACCGATCCCATAGGTTGATTTTAGGCGCTTATCGTTTGTGTTAATAGAATAGTTTAGACCTTACTGATTAATCGAGCACAGGTTGGGTTACAACTCCGTCATAGACAGCGGGCATGGTGGAAGCTGCAGGTCCAGCAAGTGAAAAGTACATCTGATTATTCCAGTGTGATTGTCAGAGTCAAATGTTGACAAACACCAGCAGAGATGGCGAGTGTGATCACCCTGAGCTCAGACTCGGACTCGGACTCTGAGGTGGAGATCGTGGGCTACTTCTCCAACAAGAACGTGACGTTTCCTCTTTCCTGGGTGCGCGTGGAGGTTGACGCTCTTCACGTGCAGTCGGTACGTTTAAAACACAACAAAGTCATTTGCATCGGAGTACTTCACGTCACACCGACGGTATATTCACCTCGATAATGTCAGATATTCTGACCTGTGTGGAGCTGCAGAGGCTGTGGGACACAGGGTAACCTCTTACCCGAAGCTCTGTGAAATATAGCCTATAATCTTATTTACTAACCATTGCAACTTTTACCGAAATGTACGATACAATTGACAAGATTGTGTGTTGCCTGTTGTCATAAAGTAGCTAACCTTGTACCTTAGCTAATGGTTATAGCTAACGCTCTATGTTATTATAATAGATCCATGGTACAATACAATGTTGACGTATGAACAATCAACCTCCTCAAGAAGGAAAGTCCTGCTACTAATGTTTGGGGCAATATCTCTTTCAAAAGGCTGGGAAATTAATGAAATCAAACAGGATTAACTGAAATAAACGTGTGACTGAAATAAAAGACTCAAATCTTGTAATGGTCTGAGGTATACACAGACAATAATGATAAATTATCGTACAAAAATAGTTGCATGTGGTGCTGTGGCTCCTGAACTATTTAAGTGTTTTAGGGTTGTAACAATTATGTAAGTGCAACAAATCAAGTTTTTAGTCATTGATTAATTGTTAACATTAACTGTTATCGCATTACAAGCAACTGACAATATTCTTTGTCTTTTCGGCAGAATAACAATTATATAAAACCAAGATCGAATTCTGGAGTGTTGGACTTAACAGGACATGACAACAACGTTTCTGATGGATATATAAAATGCTTGAGTCATAACTGTACAGAAGATTCAAGACTCATCTCTCATCTGACAACATCAGTAGAGTTAAAGAGACTGTCCCTTCTTGAAAATAACCTTGGTAAACTTTTAACATCGTATGGCGTTCGTGTGACTGGAACTGGTGAGTCAATGTCATTGGATCTTGAACAACGTGACTATAATGGTACGCAAGAATTGTTGAATACAATCCACAGCTGCCAACCTTCTATCGAGAGCCCACACGACCATTGTAGCAAAGTTGACCATTTTCTCCAAGAGCATGAAAGATCTCAACCATTTTTACTAAAAAACACAAGTAACTTTGTATCTGTTCCCTCTCCTACATGTGCCTCTGCACCCAGCAAAGAGAACAATGGATTATCTGATGAGCTCTGTGCCTACAGCCCTTCTCTCCCCATTGAAACGCTAACAGTTCAGCCTGCATTTAGTCATTCTAGCAGCAGCTCTCCTGTCTCTTTTTCCATTTCTTATTCAGACAATGTCACTTCCCTCCCAAAATCCATTCCTATACATGAAGACATGGGTATGACAAGATTGCTTGAACATGGAGAGATGCCTTCTGACAGCGCCCTTAGTCTCAGTTCTCCACCACCAGTGGCTCAGACAATCGATTCAGAAATGTCTTTCACAAATGATATCGAAGTCAATAGTCCAGCGTCATTTAGTTTGGAAGACATCGGAAGGGACAAAGGGGAAAATGATGAACTTGAACTGGACCTGGACTGTACTCACAGACCAGCAGAAGATGATAATTATGTATGCCCTGCTGCTCTCAAGATTGGAATGCAAGCTCATAAAACATTTCTGGTAAAAATTAAAAAGATAATTTGGAATATTCTTTTGTATCAGTTTGATTTACCAATTCAACATCGTTGAATCTACAACATAGAAAGATATAACATCTAACAATTGTATTTTTAGGCTGATGCAGAAAGTCATGCAGTGATGCTTTGTTCCCGGAGTCTCAGTATGGTTTACAGCTGCATAGAAGTATCTTATCCAGAGGGAACTCTACAGCTTCTGTCAGACCTGCTCAAACCAGGTTACTATCCGCCCAAAGACATCACCCTGCACCTGCTGAAGGACATCCTGCTCAACCCACAGTGTCCACTTCACTTTTGTAGGAAGGCTTTCAGTCTTCTGATACAAACACAAAGGTATGAGATTTAAACGCATATTCATTTTACTGTTTTATATTGATACATTCCTTTTTAAATTTATAGGAACAAATTTGTGGATAAAGAATCTGTTTCCTGGAACTGGGAGATGTTAAATGATGTGATGGAAAATAAGGTAAATAAAGAAAAAGGGGTGCTGCTACATAATTTTTTGCATAATTTAATGATATATAGATACACTCCTGATCCAAATGTTTAGACCTGTTGATATAATTCAGTGCTTCCCAATTATTTTCTGCCAGGCCCCCCTTAGGTAGAAGAAAACCTTTCGCACCCTCCCTCCTAACATCTTAAGATTGACTCATAAAATCCACTCTCGGCCCAATAAGTCAAATAAGTTTCACAGGGCTCTTTCTTAAGTATGCAAAAAACAAGATGCCTTGTGGTTTGTTCTGTTTGCGTGCCACTGACAAAATAACTATAATAATGAACAATAGCTGTATAATCACATAAATATTGTTTTTATCATAATTAAAGGCATGTGAATATTGAGTGATACATTATCCAGTTAGAACAGCAGGTCTAGCTGACCTTTGTGGTGGCATACTGCCACAAAATGTAACCTTTTCACACTTTCCTTATTGAAGAATCGATTATAACAGAAGCTTTAAACTTTTGATCCTTTTAAAACCTGGATGTTTAGTTGTTTTAAGTCTATCATTTATATCGAGTTAAATGTTGTTGTTCGTGGAATGCTCATTTGTTTTTCCTCATGTGGATGAAAATGCACCTTACTCTAAACAATCAAGTTGTTTACTGAAGATTGATTACTGACAAAGGGACATCATGATAAAGGGTCACGATGGCCCTTGGTCAAACAATTTATTTTAAATGTCTAGTCAACTAAATTAGTTTATATAATTATAATTCATATAGATATATATAACATATTGTCAAGCTCACACGTTCAAACTTCCAAAAAGGCTTTATTGTAATGTGTGTTTTTGTTTATTGTTAATACTTATGTGTTTTGCCAAAAGGAACTTCGACCTGAAATTGTATGCATGTTCCTAAACTATGTGGCACAGACTTTGGAGGATGATTTCAATACCAAAAAATCAACTTCTGCCCCTAATGAGTCTATTGTAAAAGTGATGTTGTCCTTTGACAAGCAGTTTCCTCAAATTAGGTAAGCCATCCAGTTTTCTGTGTTTTACTTATGTAGTAAATGTGTCATGTGCCATTAGTATTTTCATATTGAAACTCAAAGGTTTGTGATTGTGGGCCTCTTGTGCGCGTGTGTACACGTGTGAGTATTCTTTTTTACTTCTATGATTATCATTTTCTGTTTCAGGGACGTCTGCACGTGGCTTTTTTCTGTCATTGTGAAATCCACGGATGATAATCATTCTAAAGGAGATCAAATCAGGTAATGCATGGAATGCATTGAATTTAGCACTTATGCATATTTGCATAACAGAAAACAGAGAGAACTGCTAATAAACCTACTTTACTGCATGGTTATTTATAACTTTACTCCCCAGCTTCAGCAGAATGGTGGTCAGATTCCAGAAGATGTTGTCTTTGGCTTTAGAGGTGGACTCCTCTCCAGCTATAGCCTCTGCCAAGCTTTCTCAGGAACTTTTTCACGTGCTAATCAGCAATGCACCACTGCGACCACAAAGGTGTAATAAAAAAAAATAAACACAGCACTTTAGTGTGTGTATGGGTGTGTGTGTGTTTGTGAGAGCGAGAGTGTTATTCATGCTGTACTTTTTAGTTTTAATGGTATTCTTGTCCTTGGCCTGCAGAATGCTGCTGCTGGACAGCCTGCAGAGCAAGCGGCTTAGATGTAAGCTCTTGGAACATCTACTTGACTATTCCTGCCCAGTCAAAACCTCTGTGCCCATGTCACTCAGTCTTCTGCTCCACTTTCTGAAGAACTGCATACTTTCACCTGACCCCAATGTAAATATTATAGCAGTAGTTTCTATATTTTCATCCAGTCCAACAGCACTGCCCTTGAAATGTGTTCATGTGTTAGGATGGCACTGACAAATGGCGTAGATGGGAAGAGTTGCTCTGTCATCTTTGGACCTTGTTGCTGAGTTACAGCAATGCAATGAAAGGTAAGCCTGAGCCTGAACTCTCACTTCCTGATTGGCGCATTGACAGTAAGCAACTGTGAATCGCTGCCCAGCTCTGAATCGATGCTTCTTGAGGACAATAACATTTATCCTATTCTATGTTAAAAAATAAGAAAAATACATGACATTGTCTTTTTTTTTTTACTGTTTAGACTATCTCAGCGGCTCCCTGAAGGAACAAAGGCACACCACTGGCACATGGATTTATAAGCCTGAAGATGTGTTGACAATATGTGCAGTGCGTGAAGCAGCAGAGGCCTTCATGTCCAGATCACAAGATGACATTGGTGAAGCTCTACCTCTGCATGTTGAAGAGTCACTCACCTATTTGCAAGACTATTTAATGGAGAAATGTCAGCATTAAACGCTTGAAGTCATTTCATTTCATAATTAGTGAAAGCAATGATGGATGCGAGTACTCAGTTTTAGTCCTCATACATAATTACCTGTCAGTGTTAAAAGATTTAAGTCTTGAATTTATTGTTTACTTTTTATATTTATTCATTTTAATAGGTTTATGTATATACATATATTTGTAAATGAAATGACATCGCTGTTGCACAAAACAATACATTTTCTATTGTTGTTTTGCCCGTTTTATTTGTGGGTTCCAGCCCATGCAACATTTCCAGGACTTCTTCCCTTTCACAAGTCATGGTTTTTTTTTTTTATTATTCTAGTGTAACTAAAAGGTTTTACTGGTCAAAAATGAAACTCATTGTATGACCCCTTAAGTGAATTTAAGATTGGGTACCTAACTTTTGTTTGTGTATATATACAAATTACGCATACACGTTTAAGATTAAGGTGGTCCTCTCTTTTAATGTGACAGAGGCCATTAATATAAGCATGTGAAAACTAGTGATACAACCAAACTGTTTTAGAGCCAGGAACTGGTTACGTGGATTTTTCCATTTGTAGTTTTTGTTGAGAGATTAAAGTTAGATTGTATTTATCAAGCACTATTCCGATTGAGAAATCTCTAGGGAGAATTAATGTAATCAAACAAAAATAATGAAAGCCTTTAAGTAGTGCATTTGGCCTGGCTCAACAGCTGGTTGGCCCGTGTGCTCCGTGGCCAATGGGAAGAAGCGCAGTTATCGGCAGAGAGGAAAAAAGCCCTGACAGTCGCCATGATACAGCAGCGGAAACGGGGGAGAAGTAGCTAGAAAACAAAAGAGAACACGCAGTCGTCCTCGCTATTTGGTATGCTCTTGAAGGTAAAACCCGAAATCCTCCTCATTTATAGAAGCATTTGCCCTTTTGTTCTAATGCGCATCCAACGCATTTTACAAGGGACGTCAGCGACACATCTTGCAACAAAGCAGATGGACTGAAAACACAGCGTTTGCCCAGACATTCGGATCTCTCAGCTATCGTGCTAACAGGAGCTAGGCTAAGGCTCATTGTTGGTTTCAGTACGATCTATGAAGCTTTGATTGTATTTATCCTCTATATTAGCCTAAGTGCTGTTATGCAATCTCTTTTTAAATGACTGATTGTGGAGTAAACAAGTTGATACTTCGGTGGCCTAGCTAACGTTAATGCGCATGCTAGTGTTTCGCTATTATGTAAACAACAAATGGACAAATCCTCCAACTCAACACATTACTTGCGCTCCATTTTATTGAAATAAAACTCCTATGTGTTTGATGTCATATATTGTCAACTTTCCGTCTATATAAATGAACTCTGCTCGTGGTGTGTTTGTGTGTAGCCTTACTTTGATGGCTAACCAGGTTATTTAGGTTAAGCTAGGCTAATCAGTTAGCACAAATGCATGTGTTGTCTTAGCCGCTAACAGTTCGTGACACTATCTAGATGCAGCACAATTTGGTATTTTCTTTGTCTTTAACATGTACTGTATTTACAGCTGATCGTAACATGGAAGCCACACCATGTCGCTACTTAAGCTTTTTGGTTTAGTGTTATGTAAAGTGTTGTTAATCTCACTCATTAACTAAGCATTGCACGAATCAGCAGTGCCTGTTGTCTATTTATGAAGTCCTTGCGTCTAAAACACGTCTCCAATATCCCAGTACCGTTACAAGTAACTATCTTAAGGTTATTTTGAAAAAGCTATGCTGATGTCACAATGAAATGCCTGGACAACAACATGGATTGGGTTTTGCATCAATTGTAAGAATATGCACAAAAGTTGATTAAAAGTAATGCATTATTAAGAAATACTTCAGCCAAAACGTTTTCTAATGCCTTTTGCTGGTGTATTCATTAGACTGTAAACCACCATGACTAGCTAATGGGCCCCCATGCGTGAGTAAAAGTACAAGCTCAAGCTAATGTTTATACCAAAGTAAAGACATTGATGAATAATCAGATTTTACAGGGCTTGCCGAGCTACAAGCTTTGATCTATGAGGGGGTTGTTGGCACTCTCATAGATCATATCAACATACAGTGGGGAAAATAGGGAACACACATACCCATACAATTGTGTAAACAATCCGGGCCAAGAGGAAAACAGCACTGAAATCTGCAAACTTTAGTTAAACTCTTCCTCAGAGTAGATTTGGATTTGGATCCTCAGAGTAGATTTGGATCTACTCTGATCAGGGACAGAGTTCCTGTTGCTCAGTTATCTTCATGTTATGCAGGTGGCATGCCTCCTACCTGCATGTGGGCCTGCTTTAATCAAGTGTGTGCTGTATTAATGAATACATTTTCAGAACTGACAGACTGATGTTTCTTCAGTGTTATAGGAATGCCCAAGGAAAAATATGACCCGCCGGATCCAAGGCGGATGTACACAATTATGTCCAGCGAGGAGGCAGCCAATGGGAAGAAGTCTTACTGGGCTGAGCTGGAAATAAGTGGTGAGATTTGTTTATTTACTTGCTGCAATAACGTTTTTGACATCTCGAGCTGCAACAATCAATCAAGATTGATCCTAAAAGATCCCATACATTTTACAAAAAAAAGACATTACTCTGTGATTGCTTTTTTATTAAGTTAATTTCCATATTCATCTCCAAACCATTTACATTTGAACTTTTTTCACGCTGTCTAGTTTCCATGTGTTGTTGGCTAGTGATGTAAATCGGTGACCGTTTAACCGGTAGTTGACCGTCACGGCGTTAACTGGTCAAAGCTGTCGGTTTAAAAAAGAAAAAGGGGACAGGGAGGGTCTCTTAATAACGTTATTATAAGCCCTATTCGCACGGTGTGACGGAGCGGGTCTGTGTCTAGCTGTGTGCGCCACTGTAAACTCCGGGCCGACTCTCATGCCGCAAGCGCCACACATGCACGCAAACACACGCACATACATACTTTCCCTCGTTCCATTCATATGTGACATCCACACGCATCGTCCATACTCTCGTCCTTTCTCTCCCCTCTGTTACTAGTCCGCCAAAGTTGCACACTTGTGCGGGATAGAACTACATTGGAGCATACATATACACACATTTACATACATACATACATTTACATACATACCGGTCTGTCGCGCTCCTCTGTGTCACGCAGCCCAAAGGATCCTTGCAAATGCGGGGCGCCAGTCAAACCACATAGAACATGTTTGTGCTGCTGGTCCTTGGCATTAGATCAGTTCCACACACATCACTTGTATTTAAACTTTAGAGGAGACCTGCGAGACGCGGCTCGTCACTCGCTGCTCTGACCATGTGAGCGAGCTGTCGTTTTCTACTAAAAAGCTTTAACCCACTGCACAGAAGAATGGGAAGATTTAAAAAGCAGTTTTCTGTGTGCAGAGGTGACGAAGCTGTTGCAGGTATCGCTCCGCGGTCTCGGTTCTGATCCTGTAGAACGTATAGCTGCACTTATGAAAAGTATGCAACTCGAAACGGCTCTTATTTCTAAGAACGTGGAATATTTTAAACTAACCGGTTAATGAGGCTCGGTGGTCGGTCATGAAAATTCCTAGTTTTTTACATCCCTAGTGTTGGCTAAATCTATTAAACGCTTCTTCAAGGCTTAGTTTGGTGCCCACTAGATGTAGTCTTGGGAGGTGATGCCTGAGAAAGACCCAGGGGCATCCTTTGTAGTGCTCTGTCCCAGCTGTCTGTTCAGGGCCGCTCTCTTACATTGTTCATACTAGGGCTGGGAAAATGAAATTCGGTATTCTAATATAAAAATAATGATATTCGAACAATTATTAGGCAGCCCTTGATATTAAAATATGTTACTGGCATGTGCTTTGATGCTAGCAGGGTTAAGCTAGTGGCGCTTTGTGTAAAAATTCTTCTCATGAATGTAGCCCGGCAGCTTTGCACAAAACTCTTACTCTTAAAACCCACATCACAACACGGAACCATCAACATCTTGCCTCAAATTGCATCAAAAGTGACATTCGTGTCTTAATTCCTTCGTATTTTAACTTTTAAAGCAATTCACGGACTACATGTCCGCCATCTTGGTTTGCTTCGGCTGCCGTAAGAAGCGCATACGCAGGTTTGTGTTGCATCATTAACAGCTGACGGAGCTCATCTCGACGGGCAGACCAACTCGACAGAACACCGGCATTTGTCCCCGTGACCACTTTGCGGTTCTGAGCGGTTGCTGCACGTGTGGCCAGTGGAAAAAGTTTTTTTTTTCTTTACAATCAGGGTTATTACAAGCATTTATAGGTCAAAATGAATACAATGAAATTGTGTTCATTTTCGGCCCCTTTCAAACAGTTGCACAGTAGAGTCGGGCCCAGAAGATGCTTTATGATTGTGTTAGTAGAGGCGTTTCTCAAGCTGTTTTTTCTAGTATGCAAAAACAAACAAAACATGCATTTTTATATAAGGTAAAATATGTTTTGTGGAAAAAATCAATCCTGATCAAGTGAATGCCATTTGGTCATCACAGCACTAAATAGTATGGTCTGCATGCATCTAAACTGCCGTTGTGGCTTTGGTGCTTTTCAGTGTTGTGCGTGAACGAGTTCAAAAGAACGCGTTCATTGAACACGCTCATTTTTTCATGAACGTTTTTTAATAAAGAACTTGAACGTGAATTAGTTAATATTATGTTTCATGAACGGCAGACAATTTTTTTAAAATTGAAAACTGAGTGAAATCTGTTTTCTCTTTTGAAATGCAACCAGAGAAAGTTCCTCCCTCCTGTATTCTCCGCACTGTTTCCGCCGAAAACTAAAAATTCCTACGGTTTCCACCGTCTATGAACGCACCCCGACTCGGTGTACTACTTGCGGTGCGGCGCTGTATGCTAGTGCTATTCATTGGTTGTTGGACTCACATGTGCCGTGATGAAAACACAGGGGTAAGTCAGTGACACAGGGCCGTTTACATTTGACATAAAGTATAGACACGCGTTCTGCAGCGCATTACAGTTTGTACTTATGAGCAGAGATGGGACAACTCAGTTCCCATTGAAACCCATGTAAATCTTGTCTGCATTGGAGTAAAATATATACACCACGTATAGTTATTTCTAGCTCGTAGTGAAAAAAAGTATTTATTTGAATATCTCTCGCAAAAAGTAAAATAAACTGAACTTTGAACTAGTTCAGAATTAAAATTGTGAACTTTGAACGTGAACTGTTCACTTTGAGCATGTATGGACTGAACTTGAACTAGCTCAGAAAAGTAGTGAACTGGCACAACACTGGTGCTTTTCTTTGATTTCATATCTCAACTTCTGATCAATGAAACTAAAAGATGACTACAATCAATTTTTCGAGGGATAATGATATATAATCCAGACCATGTGCATTCGTCAGTAGGATGGGCAGCGTTTAATCAATATTAATTTGTTATTAAAATATATTCGTAAAGCATAAAGATATGAATCTTGTGAATGTTAACGCCATTCTTTTACCAAAAGAAACAGATTGGTTCGAGCTCAAACACGCTTCATGGGCAGGAATTTGCAACCAATTAACAAAAGAGCTGATCAGGAGCAGAACTAGACCAGCTTCCTGTATTCCTTAGCCAAATTTTTGTCTAGAAGGCACTCGATTGGTCCGTTTTTTTTATTGGCAGTAATTTGCACATGGAAAATATTAAAACCAAAAATGTCTTATGAAAATCATCACAAATGTTAAATCGATATTAGCCAGTCCTTGAATGATATGTAATGCAAGAAATTAAATGTTAATAGGCTTCAGTAAAATGCACAAAATTGGGTATATCCTTCAATTACATTTGCTTTTAAACGTAAAATGGATTGATCCCATAAAGCTTGTGATTCATGGAAATCCTAGTGATCATGGAAAAAGAAAAACGTGTTTGCAATTTTTGTTTCTGTTGAAGTTTGGATGATTATTATTTGATAATGTCCCATTTGAATCAATTCAGCAAAACGCATATAAACCTGAGCTTTGTGAAAACATATTTTGGATATGCCTTGTCCAATTGAAATTGATTAACAATAGGTTGGCCCCTCAGGAATAACCCACCCTCCTGAAATGTATTGTCACACTTCATTTAGATTCATTCCATGAAACTCTTTTCCTTGATTCAGGTCGAGTAAGGAGTCTCAGCACTGCTCTGTGGTCTCTTACCCATCTCACTGCCCTGCACCTCAGTGACAACTCCTTGTCACGCATCCCGCCAGACATTGCCAAACTACACAACCTGGTATACCTGGATCTCTCGTCCAATAAGATCAGGAGCCTGCCAGCTGAGCTCGGCAACATGGTGTCTCTCAGGTACCATTCAACATGTTACATGCTCATCACAGATTGTTGTTGCGGGACTCTAACTATATCTGTTTTTGACAGGGAACTGCTTTTAAATAACAACCAGTTGCGGGTTCTACCATTTGAATTGGGAAAACTATTTCAGTTACAAACACTGGGATTGAAAGGTGACTTTCCTAAAATACTATACTCACAAAAAGTTAGAGATATTTTCATTTGGCTAATATATTAAGTATTCATACAGCAATGGTAGATCCAAAAAGGCCTAGTATGACAGAATGAATTATTATTTATTTATGTTTCAAAAATCAATTATTGGTTTATATATGATGACATACAATGGACACGCTTTCTGTTTCGATTCTTTCAAATTTGGGTATCATTTGGTTTGCCAGTTTCTTTGAAATCCAGGGTTAGATCTCCATCCAAGCCTCAAAACCTGTAGTACATGACTCAGAGCAAGGCTGGATCAGCAGCAGTGTCTCGTTTTCAGATAACCGTAACTCATGGTTTAGTCGTAATTGAGTCATGTATTTAAATAGAGGATAACAAGGAGGTATTTTAGAGAAAGGAAAAATACAATTCAATGACTTTAGTGGGTAGTTTATTTGTTATGGATGATTCAATTTTTATTTTGTTTTGTGTTTACAACTGAGTTTCTTTGTCTCTTTCATTAGGAAACCCACTTGCACAAGAAATCATGAGCCTCTACCAGGAGCCTGACGGGACACGGAGACTGCTCAACTACTTGTTAGACAATCTGGCAGGAGCGATAAAGCGCAGTGAGTTCTATTCCCAGTCATTAGGTAAAACAAAAACAAATCAGAATTATTTAATCCTTTATTTATTCTGTATCTCATGCATTCGCCAAGATAATTACTTTGCGAAAGTATTCGGCCCCCTTGAACCTTTCAACATTTCAGGCTTCAAACATAAAGATATAAAAATTCTATTTTTTGTAAAGAATCAACAACAAGTGGGACACAATCGTGAAGTGGAACGAAATGTATTGGATAATTATAACTTTTTTTATTTTAACAAAAAACTGAAAAGTGGGGCGTGCAATATTATTCGGCCCCCTTGCGCTAATGCTTTGTAGCACCACCTTTTGCTGCAATTACAGCTGCAAGTCGCTTGGGGTATGTCTCTATCAGTTTTGCACATCGAGAGACTGGAATTCTTGCCCATTCTTCCTTGCAAAACAGCTCAAGCTCAGTGAGGTTGGATGGAGAGCGTTTGTGAACAGCAGTCTTCAGTTCTTTCCACTGATTCTCAATTGGATTCAGGTCTGGACTTTGACTTGGCCATTCTAACACCTGGATACGTCTATTTGTGAACCATTCCATTGTAGATTTGGCTTTATGTTTTGGATCATTGTCCTGTTGGAAGATAAATCTCTGTCCCAGTCTCAGGTCTTTTGCAGACTCCAACAGGTTTTCTTCCAGAATGGTCCTGTATTTGGCTCCATCCATCTTCCCATCAATTTTAGCCATCTTCCCTGTCCCTGCTGAAGAAAAGCAGGCCCAAACCATGATGCTGCCACCACCATGTTTGACAGTGGGGATGGTGTGTTCAGGGTGATGAGCTGTGTTGCTTTTACGCCAAACATATCGTTTTGCATTGTGGCCAAAAAGTTTGATTTTGGTTTCATCTGACCAGAGCACCTTCTTCCACATGTTTGGTGTTTAAACAAGACTTTTTATGGATATATTTTGAGAAATGGCTCTCACCTCAGCTGTAGTTATCTGCAGTTCATCCAGAGTGATCATGGGCCTCTTGGCTGCATCTCTGATCAGTCTTCGCCTTGTTTGAGATGAAAGTTTGGAGGGACGGCCGGGTCTTGGTAGATTTGCAGTGGTCTGATACTCCTTCCATTTCAATATAATTGCTTGCACAGTGCTCCTTGAGATGTTTAAAGCTTGGGAAATCTTTTTGTATCCAAATCCGGCTTTAAACTTCTCCACAACAGTATCTCGGACCTGCCTGGTATGTTCTTTTGTCTTCATGGTTCTCTCTGTGCTTTAAACAGAACCCTGAGACTATCAAAGAGCAGGTGCATTTATACGGAGACTTGATTACACACAGGTGCATTCTATTTATCATCATCAGTCATTTAGGACAACATTGGATCATTCAAAGATCCTCACTGAACTTCTGGAGTGAGTTTGCTGCACTGAAAGTAAAGGGGCCGAATAATATTGCACGCCCCACTTTTCAGTTTTTTATTTGTTAAAGTTTAAATGATCCAATAAATTTTGTTCCACTTCACGATGGTGTCCCACTTGTTGTTGATTCATGACAAAAAATTAAAATTGTATATCTTTATGTTTGAAGCCTGAAATGTGGCGAAATGTTGAAAGGTTCAAGGGGGCCGAATACTTTCGCAAGGCACTGTAAATATTCTTGTAACCCATTCATACTTTCCTGTCAAGCTAAATAAGAACATCTGTAATGCTAACATGAAAGATAACGGGAAAGCATTGACAGACTTGACAAAACTGTACCTGTATCAGTCCATAAGATTTCAAAACTGAGGATTAGTGACCAGGACTCTCTTGACATAGTAATGTTGATAAGTAATAAGCATTCACGGAGCGTTTTATGAAGCTTTTCCCGATGTTTTTATTTATTAGTGTTTTTTTAATAGTATTGGTCCATTCTATTGGTCCTAACTAATACACAAACATGCATTAGTTTACTGTGCAACACAGCAGCTGTGCCAGCCCAGTAACACAGTAACACTGGATATGTGGCAAACCAAGGCACTGCCGGATTGATTTTGGTTTATCCATCCATCCATTTTCTTTCCCTTAAAGTGGTTCTCACCCCCGCTCCTCGGAGCTTACGTTACTCACATTTCCTGTTCAAATCTTCCTCTAAATGGGCGTAGCCTGGAGGACTAAAGGGGGCGTGAACGAGACTGGGCCGTTTACAATGCTCTGGGCGGGGGGCTGCTGACGTCAGGTCCAACTTGCAGACGTCAGGTCCAACTTCTGTGCCAGTGTTGGCGCCAGATTCAAAATTCAAATGTAGTAATACAGGTCGCCAGCAGATGGCGCCTCAGACGGTTTTAGGCAGAAAGTCTAACTTTCAACTAATTTGCACCAAAGTGACAAGATTATGACCAGGATATGTAGACAACACTATTGGACACTCATTTATACCGTCTATCAGCAAAAAAAAGTGGATTTGAGGGTGAGTTGTCCTTTAATCCATTTCTGGGTCGCGGGGGGTGGCGGCAGTCAGAGCTGCACCCTGTACACAGAGCACCAGCACTGATCCTCCTGCAGGTGGGGAGTCCACAGGAGCCTTGATTATTCAGCAAGGGCTTCAGGCAAAGTGGTGTTAAGTGTCATGCCCAAGGACACAACGACAGCAGTCATCAGTGGGAGTCGTGAAGTAGGTCTTGTGGTGGGCTCGAACCCACGTCCTTCAAGCTCTAAGGCCAATGCTCTACCAACTGAGCCATCTGTAAACGGAGCTCAATGGAGCACCTCCAGACCTATTAATGCAACGATTGGTTTTTGCTAATTGCTAGTTTGTTAGGGCAAGCTAGCACTTGTTAAGTACGGTCGCCAAATTGCTCACAGACTTGATTCCTAATGTAGTGTAATGCTTTCACATTTCAAGCTGGGAGGCACCGTCAAAGACTGCGTTATTACAGAAACTGCGTTCATGTGTGCTGGGAGTTAGGCTACTCGGATGCTACTGCTAGGCTAACCTGAATCCTTACCTCATTGTCTGCCAGCCCATTTCAGAACAGGTACTTCAATATTGCCAGCCGTTTCTGATGGTTTTTTTACTGATTTTTAAAGACCCACAAAAAATTGTGTACTATGACTATCTGAAATCCGACACCAGATTCTAAAAAATTTCATCTGCAAAAATAATTTTGTTTCTAGCTTGTTTCGTTCCCCTGTAATCCTCCGTTGAGTAGAGGGAAGTTTTACTGATATCACCAGAAAGTTGAGAAAAAAGAGGCACAACATGTGCACCTAACTGTTTTCAAACCATTCAGAGAGCAATGCTGCCACCTGCTGGCTCGATAAAATATGGTCTCAAGCCATCCCCATACATATTAGATACAATAGACGTCTGGGAACGTGAACATTTTTCAACAACATCTTCATTACTAAAGTTTTCTAATGACATTTTTTCTGGTTTTGACAACTCTTTTTTTACTGGTGCTTTATTTATAGACTTATCAAAAGCCTTTGATATGGTTGACCATTATCTTCTTTTAGACAAACTTCACTGTATTGGTCTGGACAGATCCTCACTCCTCTGGTTCAATTCCTATCTACATCACCGTCAACAATGTGTCTTTTACAATGGTAGCTACTCTGGTTTTTCTTTTATCGAGAGAGGTGTGCCACAAGGTTCGTCACTGGGTCCACTTCTTTTCTCCATTTTTATTAATGACCTTCCCCTTGCCTGTACAGACTGTAGCATTCAACTTTATGCAGATGATACAGTGATTTACACATCCAATGATAACATCAGCAATATTCAACAATCTATCCAACATGACTTTAATTCTGTTCAACACTGGCTAAAATCTAACAAATTATTACTGAACAAATCAAAAACAGTTGTCATGTTGTTCCAGAAAAAAATGCATCCTATTTTCTCTAACAAAATTCAGCTTACTTTTTCAGACATGTGTCCAGTTCCAGGTGTTGATAAATTTAAATATCTTGGTTTGTGGCTTGATCCTTCTCTATCATTTAACATTCATATACAAACAATCACAAACAAAATTTCATATAGACTAAAAGTACTTTACCATTCATTGAACTGTTTTGGTTTATCTGTTAGGAAGAGGATCATTTGTCAACTGATTTTACCTATTCTTGATTACAGTGATATAATTTATCAAAACACTACTGCCTCTGTCCTCCAGCCCCTGAACGTCACCTACCACAGCCTGTGCAGGTTCATTCTCCGTTGTCCCTTTAGAACGCACCACTGCCTTCTGTACAAGCAGCTTTCCTGGCTCTCTGTCCTCCAGACGTCAGCTACATTGGCTATTATTTATTTTTAAATGCATTAATCTTAGTTTTCCTGACTATTTAAAACAATATTTGATTCCTTTTCAATCCTCCTACAGTTTGCGTCATGCAAATCAGTCCTTCTTTTCAGTCCCAAGATTGAAAAAAGAAGTCGGGAAACATGCATTTAAATTTAAAGCACCGTCTGATTGGAACAGTTTGCCCTCATCTGTTCGCTCTCTCAGTTCTCTGGCTCAGTTTAAGAATGCTCTTGTGCGAAATCTCCAAAATCAGTGTCATTGTTTTTGATTTTGGGTTACATAATCCTATGTTTACTGCCTTTAATATTAATAAGTTTAGTATTTTCATTATTTATTGTCTGCATCAAATATATTTACAACAGTCATGGTGTGTGCGTGTGTGTGTGAGTGTGTGTGTGTGTGTGAGTTTGTTTTGTGTGAGTATTGTTTATTGTTGCTTTTTGTCCTTTGTCTTTATTGTTTACTTTATTGTATTGCATTGTATCTGTCACCTCTGTTACCTTTTTGAGGACCCCCTCGAAAACGAGATGTTTCATCTCTAGGGGCTTATCCTCCAAATAAATAAATAAATAAAATAGCGTGAAAGGCAATTGACGTATTTGTGCGTCAATGGCACACAATGAGTTAACTGCTCTTTTAATGTTTGACTTTAGATTATTCGACACTTTTGCTCCGTATCAGATATGTGTTTCCATCTCTAGCGTGTTTTGGTGTCGGCTGTTAAAGGAACATAACCCTAACCTGTATTTTTGCAGTGCATATATATAAGTGTGTGAAATATGAATGTGTAGTATAGTATTCAGCTCTGTTGGCCAAAGAAATGCAATGTGTTCAAGACATGCCTGATCGATCGTGTGACAGTAGTTATCAAAACTATTTTCTGTACTTGGCCCACAGGATTAGCGTTTGCTAATTTGCTCAAATTGACACAGATGCCATCAATGACCGAAGACTAACGGCCCTTTTATAATAATGTGTGTATAATGACACATATATTATAATAATTGTAAAAGATTCCTTTGTCTCTTCAGTACCAACAGAGCAGCCTCCGGCTCGGTCGTGGATTTCACTGCAGGAGCCTGATCGAACACGGCCGTCAGGTAAAATACTTTGAGACCTGTATAGAAGTTTAATACAAACACACACTTGAAGATATTTTGTTCTTTATTGATATGATTCATCCATTTTTTTTTTTCAATTCAGAATAATTTCTTTTTACATGACCAGTTCACAAGTAGCTCAGTAGTAGCAGTAACAGTAGCTCAGTTGGTAGAGCATTGGCCTGAAGCCCAGAAGGTCGTGGGTTCAATTCCCACCTCTGCACCTTCTCCATTGACTCTCACTGATGACTGCTGCCGTTGTGTCCTTGGGCAAGACACTTAACCCCACTTTGCCCAAAGCCCCCACTGAAAGATCAAGGCTATGCTCACACTCAGAGAGCAGCCGTCCTCCTGTGGACTCACCACCTGCAGAGGGTCAGTGAGGGGCTGGTGCTATGAGACTTGGGTGGCATCTCTGACTGCCACCCCCCTGACCCAGAAATGGATTAGAGGGTAGAAAATGGATGGATGGACAGTTCTTTGATAATCAAGTTCTGACCTGTACAGTGTTGGATGTCATCTGTCCACATTCCTCGCTCTTTCTCTTCCCCTTTTCTGTGTCCTTCCCTCTAGAAGACCATCTGAAAAAGCATGTTAACAAATTCTTGTCGTTGTTTGGTCAAAAAGTAGATTTCTTTTTTTTATCCGTTTCATGAAGGTTTCTTGTAAAATATAACTATGAATTTGCTTTGATCTAAACGTAGCCATTTTTTCCCTTTTTAGCGCTGTTTTCAGTGATGTGCTACAATGTACTGTGTGACAAGTATGCCACTCGTCAGCTCTATGGCTACTGTCCGTCTTGGGCTCTGAACTGGGAGTACAGAAAGAAGTCAATAATGCAAGAGATCCTCAGCTGCAACTCGGACATCATCAGTTTGCAGGTGATGTGCTTCATATATTTGCCATGTAGAATGGACATGCAACTTGTCAAGGAAAGACGTCAGTTTGTCACAAATTATTCTACAGTTTAGTCATGTTTGAAAATTTTGAATGTGCCATCTCTGGAGTCTTGTAGCGCATCCTTTTAGGCCTTTTATTGAGAAACTGTCAATCCCTTGCGCCTTTTAGACTTACAACTGACTCTTGTTTATAGGAAGTGGAGACCGAGCAGTACTACAACTTCTTTTTGCCAGAGCTAAAAGAGCAGGGGTATGATGGCTTCTTCAGTCCGAAGTCTCGAGCCAGGACGATGTCTGAGTCGGACCGGAAACATGTGGACGGCTGTGCCATTTTCTACAGAACGGAAAAGTATGTTTGAATTAACAAGGCTAACCCTCTCCTCACAATACAGCGTTGATGACGGCATGCAAGGAAATCAGTTTGAATAATTTGTTGCTCTCGTTAACGCAAGCAGGAGTCTCTGTGTCCATTTGTCCATTATTTTCTTGATTTTCAAATCTCCACAATTGCCGTTGTTTTCCTCTTGACAACAGTATAGCCAAACTATAGATTCAGAGCCTGTCTTCATTTGCAGTAAAAGTGAAAATATTTGAGTCAGAATGTTGAATAATACAACTTGACAAACTTAAATGCCTTAAAAGCGTCTTTATTACACCAAAAACAAACAAACGAGCTCCCGCTGTATACACTCGATGTTGTGTAACCGCAGAATTGGATATAAGCTGACTTGTATAGTGATTTTATTCAAATGGATTGTCCTGTTATTTCAGTTAATTTGGACTGAAATAAATAATACATCAAACTTGTATAGAGCTTTCTTGGACACTGAAAGACTCTTCTCATGGGCAATAAAATTAATAAATTTAAAAAAGGGTTTACGGATTAGCTTGTTTGAAAAGCCGGGTTTTGAGTACTGCTTTAAAGTTTGGTAATGAGTCAGTTTCTAACGGGCAGTGGAAGTGAATTCCAGACGGTTGATGAAATGAATCATTGTTTTCTTTAGGGACATGTACAGTAAGTTACAAGAGTGTAATGATATGAATGCTGTTGTTGACGCTTAAAACAGTCTAAAACCCTCTTGTGTACTCTCTGGCTGGCAGGTTTAATGTTCTTGACTGATTTTGTCCAGGTTCAGTGCGGTACAGAAACACACAGTGGAATTCAACCAGCTGGCCATGGCTAACTCTGAGGGCTCAGAGGCCATGCTCAACAGAGTCATGACGAAGGACAACATCGGGGTGGCTGTGCTACTCGAAGTGCGCAAAGAGATGATGGAAGTCTCCTGTAAGTTTGCTCACAAATAACTGACCACAAACATCTTTGGAAATGCTATAATCACTCTTTTATTTTAGCTGGGAAATCCCTCCATGGTATGGAGAAGCAGCTGCTGCTGGTGGCCAATGCTCACATGCACTGGGACCCTGAGTATTCGGACGTAAAACTGGTCCAGACCATGATGTTCCTGTCGGAGGTGAAGAACATTGTGGACAAGGCCACACGCAGCCTCAAGTTATCGTCTGTCTCTGGAGAAACTAATGCCATTCCCCTGGTGCTGTGTGCTGACCTCAACTCCCTCCCAGACTCTGGTAAGTCCTCCCCCAGCTCTGGGGCTGACCACCTCTGTATCATTAGATGCGTTTTTAAAGCTCAAAAACCTGTTGGTGGATGCAAGCTTTAATGTAAAGTCAAAGATGTAAATTTAGTTCTACCCAAAGTAGTGATGTATAAGCCACGTGTGTGTGGCTTATGCATGGAGTAAGCGTAGTTGTGGTAACGCGCATCTATTCTGTCTGTATTAGTGTTTTTTAGCATCAGCAGAGAATCAGTATTTTAGTTGTGGCAGCTTACCATTTTTGATGGTCATTTTGTTCTGTGCATTCAATCTTAAAATCACCCTACTTCAATCTGTTCTGTTTGACACTTTTCATACAATATATCCATCACTTTTAACAAGGTTTATTAAAGGACTTTACTCATACACTGCTTGAGCTTCAAATGAAATGTTGACATTGTGCAACTTTCTATATTTTTACTTTACATTGAAGTACAAAAATGATTTACTTAAATAATTAATTTGCGCTTACAAGTGTATTTACTTTATTAAAGACCTAAAGTAACTGACCGTGTGGTGACATTTGTCATTGTGGTCCAGGTGTGGTGGAGTACCTGAGCTCTGGTGGAGTGGACTGCACTCACAAGGACTTCAAGGAGCTGCGTTACAGCGACAGTTTGACCAAATTTAACTGCAATGGAAAGAACAGCACGTCCAACGGCAGAATCACCCACGGCTTCAAGCTAAAGAGCGCCTACGAGAACGGCCTGATGCCTTATACCAACTACACCTTTGACTTCAAGGTACGTTTGAAGACACTGTTTTGACAATGGATTCTGTTCATGTTGTAGAATTCGATTTCAGTTGGAGCGCAGGAGCCAATACAACTCACACGAGTAGAGTTGTATTGAAACTTTTTTTGAAGAAATGTAAATGTTTTCCAAACTGCGTATTGAGTGTGACGTCCTTTTTTACCGGTCTACGTCATGTTTTTAATATTGTCATAACTTCGAGACAAGAAAATAATTTTTTTTATTTCATTTTGATTTTAGTGATTGACAAAAATAAGACTTATCAGTTTAGAGGCAATTTCTCTATACAGATACCAGTGTTTTGTTGACTACAATTTTAAACTATATGCTCTTTTAGAATGTTGTGATGTCACACGGACACAAACTATTACCAGTTTATTTTTCCTAATAAAACGGCACGGGCTTGTAGGCTGACCTGCCAGACCCTCTTTCTGATGTGAAAGCAGGAAGGGTCTTGGTCCAGCTGCGGTTGTTCCCAGAACCTATAGACAGAAAATCTACCGACCTTTTACAGAATTGGGAACTCATAACTTGCATCTGATTTGAGAACACTTCTCCTTCCTCTTCCTACTTGATCTTTCTCATTTATATTGGGCTTTTTGTGGCAAAATATGTATCTGTAAAAACTTGACAAACTTACTGGATCCGCCCAGTGTCATAATGGGTCATTTCTGAAGGACAAGGAGGTATTCTGGCTCAATGATTATAACAATGATAATAATGTATTGGTTTTATATAGCGCTTTTTTGGACACTCAAAGACTCTTTACATGTCATCATTCATTCACTCCATACGCAGTAGTGATAAACTACTACTATAGCCACAGCTGCAGTAAAGGATCAGTCGACAAAGCTGACCACGTTGACAGTGTACACAGTAACACAGGGCTCTCCCCTGAAATGTTTTCAAGGTGTTTATTTGTTGTTGTGTAAATGTAAAAGGGTATGTGCAGAAGAGGAGGGGGGGACTTAATGATTTTATTAACTCGTCAAAACTGTCTTAGCCATTGCTACTGTTTGTATAAAAGACCATCCATACTGTACAGTGTGGGAGTTGCAGAGACATGGACCGAGGTTTGGAAAAGATCTGTCCTGTAATGTAGGTAGGATTTGAATGGAAGGATTAATACGTTTTTCTATTTTTTTTCCTCAGGGTGTCATTGACTACATATTCCACTCCAAGCCTCACCTGAACGTGCTTGGGATCCTCGGACCCCTGGACCCCCACTGGCTGGTTGAGAACAATGTGACGGGATGTCCGCATCCCCACATCCCCTCTGACCACTTCTCCCTTTACGCCCAGCTGGAGCTGCTCCTGCCCAACACCCCCCCACAGGTCAATGGGCTGCACCTGCCTGCGCGTAGGTAGTGAGGCCCTGCTACACCACCAGAGGGAGCCGCAGCCGCTCTGTTTTTAATCTTCTCCCTCCCACCAGCTACCCCCCCATGGCACTGGAGGGACGACAAAACACAACCTGTAACATAAACCTGCAGTGAGGTCTGGCCGACAGGGATTTCCTATAATGATATTCTTTATTTTTCTTTATCTGTTCACCAGTTTTATTTTTAACTGCTCAATTCAGTCAGTGTTTGTATCAAATGTTCAGTTTGAAACCCTATATTTTTTAATCTATTTCACCTCATTCATGTCGCAATGTTTTTTAACAAAAGCGGACGGTAGCTAAGTTAGTTTGTCACACACAACACTGTTTAGTGCGAGATAAACCCAGGCTTCATTGGCACAGACAAAGGCGAGTTTCTCTAAAACCAGCACTGGCTGCACACAGCTCTGGGCCTCTCTGATCCGAGCTGGGCCAGGTCAGATGCCCACAAGCTCTGGGTGTCTGACACGGGCACTTTGAAGCAGCTCCGACTGGTCGCTGAGGGCCACTTTTCTTGCTGTTATTCTGTGGTGCTTCGGTCTCCTTTGGTGCTACACGAATTTGCAGCTGTCCAATTTCCCTCAAAGCTTGGAGCTTTAGGGAGAAAGTGCGACGACGAGTGCAGCTACCGTCCTGTTTGCCGACTGTTTAGCCCCCGACCCTTAGAGAACATGGCTAGTCTAATGTTAGGAGCTTACATGGTCCACAGAACAAACACCATTATGCAGGGGATCCAGTCTTAAGGGACAGATATTGGAGGGGTGCTTTTTCTCACTAATCTTTCCTTTATTTCACTGCTTTTAGTAAAGCGACTAATAGTTAAGACACAGGAGTAAAACCAGCATTCCTCTACACTGTCCTCCCACACATGCTGACACTAACATACACGTGCTAATTTGTAGGCAGATTTGTAGCACTGTCTCTAAGGCCAGTAGTGACTTTCCCCAGCTATAAAATCCATACACAAAAGCAGTGGTTTTTCACAAGTGTTTGTACAGAATAGAAATCTCGACTCAGTCTTTACATGATTGTATATGAACCACAAAAGACCTGTTTTCTGGCGTTTTTTGTACGTGGAGTAAATTATGATCAGATTTGAAAAAAAAAAGGATTGTATTGTAAACTATGGCTAAATTTTTATCCAGTTAATGTTAAAATGAATTGATATTACCAGCTTGTACAAAAGACGTGGGAAGAGGTTGTTCGAGGCGTTCGCCATCATTAGTTTGCACTCCCCAGAGACTGACAGTAATTATTGTGTTTTTATTTTGCCCTTCCCTGCTTATTTGTTTTTGGCACATCGCTGCCATTGTACATAGACACACAGGAAAGTTTGCTTATTGCGTTTTGCCATAGCAAAGTTATTGATCCACACTGCTGCCATCTGATTTGGACACACCCGACTAAAGGCAGCCCAGTGATTCCACATCTGTTTCAAATCCCACTTGTACAAACCAACATCGTGCCTCACTGTAGCAGTTGTTGTTGTCTTGCACTATTTACACTCGAACGCCTGAACAACCTTTTCTAATTTTATTTTTAAATACTGTTGACACATTTGAAGATTTTATGTCCTTTTTGTTTTTGTTAAGTTACTTTTATATGAGCTATGACAATGTCATGATGCGTATAATCCTCCTCATTAAGCTCTATAGTATCAGGTATGCTTTCCCCTTGCCCCTTCACCAAGCCCTGTCGACGGCTGACAGTGGTCCTTTTTATCTGAATCCAATGTTTATTTTCAGCACAGCTTTATATCCAGACCTCTGCACCATCCGCCCCTGCCCTGTCTGCCCACCTGTGACCTCCTGACCTCAGACTTAAGCTGTGTCTTTTAATCCCTCTGCCCCAGTGTACAGCTCCTTTACCCGTCACTGCAGTTATAGTGCCATTGGTGGACCCTACCTTTCCTGCTGAAGGTGGGACGTCCCACTTTGCTTTTAGAGACACAAGAGACAAGGGGAGGTGACCTCAGTGTTGCTGTGAGATTCTGTCAGTCACATCTCAGAGCAGTGAGCGCAGCCTCACTCTTATCCAGGCAGCCATGTTTGACCATAAACCACACACTGAGCACTTAGGGCAGCTGAGCACCTCCTCGCCCACCACTAAAGGCTCTCTTAATGTAATCTGAAAACATTTTAAAGCAAGAGGGAAGCAAGTAAATATGAGGTATACATTTAGCCCTCAAATCAAGTTTGACCTATTTGTTTGCCCCCACTTGGTTGTTTTTAAGCATTTTTTCCAATGGAAACCAATGTGTCCAGTTTTTTTTCTGAATGGCATTAGTATTGTAGTAGATTTAAAGGCTAGCTTTTTGTAAAGTGTGAATAAAAGATGTATCTCATGTTTTCTTTCTAAATGATATTGAATTGTGTTTGTTGATGTGTAAATCATGAAATCTATGATGGTGTTATGTTTGCTACTTTGTTTTTATTTTGATTCTACTTTTTCCATAAACTGTGCTCCCACCACAAACCAAATCCTCTGTAGAAATCATGACATGTAGATGGTTGTTCTTTGCAATGTCTTCTAGGAGGGTCTTCTCTGGTCTTTGGTGTTGGTGACACTTAAAGCACAGGGACATTCTCTTTGGTCGTACCTTTTTCAGCTTTATTTTTGGATGGCGTGGCATGGGCAGGATGCGCTGCGTCAGTCCGTAGTGTAGGCAGCAGTGCTCTTTAGTGGCTGCAGGTGAATGGATCACTGGTGCTGTTGCGTTGACAGTTTTCAGTACTTTGTCCATCTCACTCGTTCTTGTGCATCACCGTGGCTTCTGTTACACTAGCTAGCTACTATTGATGGTCAGATTTTGATTTTGACATACTTTCAGGTTGACTCCAGTCGCCCTCTCATTGCACACGGCTGTAGCTTTGTCCAACCTTTTCCGTTCTGTCACCCACCAGCTTCAGCGGGTGGTCCTTCGTTTAGCCCTCTCCACTCCTGCATTGTTCTGTAGTTTGCTCATTAGGCGTACAATAATTTCCCAGGCTGCATTGCGCTGTTGTGGTGCACGCCAAAGCTTGCTTGTAGAGCATTTCACCAACAAAACTAACATAGTCTCCATGAACTGTAGGGCTGAAAGGAAAGCATTGTCCTTTTCCTTGACTCACATGAGCACCTCAACTCTTTGGCTCTTTGGTTCTCATTCCATCGTTTTCACAAGAACTTGGCAATAATACCCTGAACCATTCCAATTCATTAATTTTAAATATTCTACATGAAATATGTAGCTTCTTTTTGTCTTTAAACTTGTGCTCGCATTTAAATCCTGCATCTTCACTCTAACTTACTGGATTTGTTGGGCTGTCACCCCTGTACCTTTTTTAACACTTTGGTTACACCCATCTTGTAAATTTACTCATCTCCCCTGCCAATTTTTTGTGGTAGTTGTTCAATGATCAGGATTGTCTATCTGTAGTCAAGCTGAGTACATATATTGATCTGTGTCACTGTGTTTTATGCACTGGACCAACTATTGTTTACCATTCATTAAATACCAGCAAAAAGCGAATAATAATGACAAAACACTTGCACAATGATGTAGAATGTTCATTAACCCTGACGAGAAATCAAGGCAGCTGTTTTCAAATCAATACTGTTTGCAAAAGAATTGAATGGTAAACAATGCTTTTCTGTTGTACCCTTAGCCGTCCTCCACTCCTTTTGGACTATATTTTTTTTGTTTTATTTTTCTGTTGACTACAGGATCTGCTTGTTTCCTTTACACCTACCTATGTATTTTCCTACTTCTGGTTGAAAATAAATTCTATATCTGTTTCAAGCAGTGTCACTTCTTCTTTACACATGGATCTTATGCATAAATTCTGTACCTGTTTCCATCTTGTATCCTCGACTTCCTTCTTCCTCCAAACGTTTGTAAATGAGCCATGTGGAGTCCCTGATGCGTTGGTTGGCTGAACATGAGCTGATGGGAGGTAATTATTTTTTCTTGGGCTCAATACGGAAACTGCAGCTCCATTATTCATATTTTCCAGTTGTTTACCAGTTGTCGAGTCAGTTTGTGCAAATCCCAACAGGGAGCTCCTTATGTCTCATCCCCAGAGGTGGCAAGTAGTGTCTCAAAAGCACTGGACATGAGTTGTCCTGAATATTGATCTGCGTTTCAAATGTTGAGTAAGCATATTCCTGGCAGTACCGTTCTTTTCAACAGGTCGACCTTCCTCTTTCTCCTCATTACGCTTTTGGAAAATGTTTCTTGGAAAACCGTGCCACATTTTGGATGTTTCCTAAATTGCCCAGCCCTGGGTCATTTAGACCCTGATTTAGGGTATTTGTCTCCTACTTTTAATCACTATTGTCACTATCACTGATCCTAGGGCAGGCATGTCCAAACTCAGGCCCGGGGGCCAATTGCGGCCTTCACTGTCATTTCATGTGGCCCTCTGCCTTGCTAACCTAAAGTAGTTATTGAGATCATAAACACTAGTTCACTGTGTCATCCATCCAACTTCAGCTCAGGCAATAAAAACATGCCGTTACTCGTTCTAAAGCCCAGTACGTCTGGAATTCAGTCATTTACTTTATTTGTACAAACTGTACCAATATGGTTTTTGATTGTGTTACAAACTTCTGTTAATGGTGCTACTGTAGCAGGTGAAATGGTAAGGATGTGTCATTCAGCCAAGTTCAGCTCTGTTATGGATCATTTTGAAGCTCAGAACAGCTCGATACCAGTCAAGATGTTTTAGTATGTGATGTCGACCCCTAGACTTGTCTGGGGAACTAAAGTGGCCCTCTTGCTAAAATGTTTGGACTCCCCTGTCCTAGGGCATTCTTCTTCATGTTTATTGTATCCTCTTTTTGAGAGTCATGGTATTCATACTGTTACTATTTTTGAGTAACTATTTGAAATGGTTAATGCTGCTGGTTTTCGGAACGATGTAAAAAAGCAGGTGTCTCTCATGTCAACTCATTTTGGTCATAGGCCGGGCTGAACAGGGCTGAAAGTATAGTGTTTGAAGCTCAGCTTTGCATCTATGGACATTTTGTAAAACATTTTGAAGGCAAAATTTAACTTAAGATTGACCCATTTTTGTCAAATAAATATCCAATGTTAAAGGATTGGGCAAAGTTTATAGTTTTTAAATCAACCAT